GCAGAGTGAATAGTTCTTGCCAGCAAACAAAGCCAACAAAGTGTAAAGAGATGGAAAGAGAGACACCTAGGAACACTGCCTCAGCACCTAGATCCAACTCTACCTGAAACAACTTATTAACATGAACCAATATGTTCCTTTTTGTGTTTCAGCTAGTTGGAGTTGTCTTTCTGTCACTTTCACCTGAAACAATTTAGACTATAATAGGAGTAGTTTATAACTCCATAGACTTTCAGGGTGTTATGGGCACAGACCCATGAACACTTGACTCTTGACTTCCTCCTTTCAGAGTTCTGCAAGGAGGAGGTTAGGGGTGTGAATGCACCAAGAAAAGAATGTTCTTAGCTGACTGAGTAAGAAATAACCCCGAACGGGATCAAGGAAAGGTGAATGACAGCACTGGACGGTGTCTTAGAAAGAATCTCTCTCTTCCCTTAAGACTATATATTGAGATTTTAACTGCCAGAGAGGTTGTTTTTATTATATAGTCCCATCAGAAGGGACTGAGTTTTATATCATGAAGATTAGGGAAGTTAATTACGTGGATTTAGAATTTAATATACAGAGCTTTTACAGCCAAACAGCCTTCAAATGGATGAGTAACTTTTCTTGATAGGGACAGACAGGAGTCAGACTGCTAGAATTTTATCATTTATAATCTAGCAGTGATAGCATCATATATTCAAATAGTGGTTTTTTTTTTAAGATTTTATTTTTTTTTTATTTTAGAGAGAGAGAAATAGAGAAAGAGAGCATGAGTAGAGGGAGGGACAGAAGGAGAGGGAGAGAGTCCCAAGCAGACTCCACACAGAGCATGGAGCCCAACATGGGGCTCAATCTCATTACCCTGAGATCATGATCTGAACCAAAATCAAAAGTCAGATGATCAACTGAATGAGCCACCCAGACACCCCTATTATTCAAATAATTTCACAGGGTTAGTGCAAGTCTGAGAAGTTTCAATGCATAGTCAACTGAGCTAAGAGAGGAGTTCATAAATAAAAGTTTTGCTTAAGTTACTGTACTGCAACTAAATTGTGGTTATTTGGTAGTCATGAAAAGACAAACTAATGAATGGAGAAATGTTATTCATCCTTTTGTTTATTTTTTCATTCACCTATTCAGTCAACAAGTATTTAAGGAGTGCCTACTGCATGCTAGGCACCGTTCTAGTGCTGGGGACCTAGAAATAAACAAGACAAAGTCTTTCCCTTTGTAGAAGAGACATTCAGAAACATCTCAGTTATAATGAATTGAACTTAGAATGCATGTATATCTGTATGTGATGGGGATTCTCTTGCAAAGAGACGAGAACAATTGAGGTAATTACCTGGACTAACAGAACTGTAAAATCAGTCAGTGTGGAGAATATGTGTTTGCTTTTTTCTTTCTTGTTTTTTTTTTCTTTTTAAGATTTTATTTATTTATTTGACAGAGAGAGAGATCACAAGTAGGCAGAGAGGCGGGCAGAGAGAGAGGGGGAAGCAGGCTCACCGCTGAGCAGAGAGCCCAATGCAGGGCTTGATCCCAGGACTCTGAGATCATGACCTGAGCTGAAGGCAGAGGTTTAACCCCCTGAGCCACCCAGGTGCCCAGGGCTTGCTTTTTTTTTTTCTAAATTTTGTGTATGATTGCCTCAATTCTCCATTTTACCTTCCTAGGAGAATCATTGCCTAAGAATGTCCACAGCACTAATTTTCTCGGAATTCAGAGATCTAGAGATGAAAGGAGCTGTATATATAATTGAAATGTCATGTTATTAAAGATGAGATGCTTTTAACACTTTCTAACACTTATAATGATATGCTCTGGTTACCTAGAATGTTTTTCCCTGTGATTTCTTCCATGCATTACTTCTTTGCTTTTCCAATATTACTAAAATATAGGGGGCAATTATTAGTCCCTTGATTCTGCCCGTAAAGAAACAGAGATATTTAGTAAGTGACTTGTTTAAGTGCTAACTCATGACCAGATGATAAGAAAGTCTGATTGCAGGTTTATAAGGGAAACCAGCTAGACCTGCATTTTTCCCAGCTCTTCTTAGCTGTCTTTCCCATGCACCAAGGGTATGACCTTAAAGACCTTCACATAACCTCTAGGTTTCAGCTTCTTGATCTGGAATATGAGGCAATGAGCTAGGTTCAGGTTCAACTAGCCTTCACTAGGCACCTATTGTGTGTGAGTCACGCTCCAGGAGCTTTCAGTGTTATCGTATACAATTTAATTAAATTTTAAGTTAAATTAAACCTCACAACAGGAGCACCTGGATGGTACAGTCCGATGAGTGTCCACTCATGCTCTCTTTCTGTAAAATAAATGAACCTTAAATTAAACCTTACAACAAATGAGAAAATCCAGGTCCCAAGAAGTTAAGTAACTTGCCTAAGGAAACCCAGCTAGGTCAGTATATTAATCCAGATCTCCTGACTTCAAAAATCAATGCTTTTTTCCTCCATATTTTCACATTTCCTCTGTATTTTAGCATTCTATAAAGTTATACAAAATATGCATGCATTCTGATTCATTGGCATATAAACTAAAAGAATTCCTGTTGCCCAAAACACATGTAATATAATGGAGAAATACTTAACATACCTAAATTAAAATTTAGAAGTTTGACTAAGTTTATTTAATTAACCTAATTTTAGGATTTAGCAATGTTTGAGGTTTTTGAGTGATACAAGAGGGTGTTAAAAAATATGCTACCAAAAAAAAAAAAGTTACAGAAATCCAAATACCAAGATGTTCAATGTGTTATTAATATACTGATTCAGAGGTTGATTTGGAGTAGCAGTTATTTTGTTGAGAAATGTGTCATTTCAAATAGACCTTCCCGTTCCATACAGCTCAACAAATGGATTTTGATATGTTAACTGACACTAAGGAAGAAAGAAGCTACTGGGCTTTTTCTAAATATAGATGGAAATTTTTTGATTGACATATCTGCTACTGTATCTATGATTGTTACTAGTTGGCTGATTGATTGTGATCAACATTGTTGGTACATAAGACTAAAACTTATAAGAACATAGCTGATACAACAAGACAGGTTATTAACATTGTCTTTGGGACACAGATACTCAGGCAATACTGCTATTTGGGGAAGATAGACACATCTCTGGTGTGCACTATATTTCTAAATTTTGCCAAAGTCTTATGTTTCATCTGTCATGTAGCGTGTGTTCTGTGTTATTTTAAAATATTTAATTCTGCTGTAAAAATAGAAAAAAAGGAAGGAGAATAGATGACACTAAGTAGAGAAGCAAATAGCTTATGACACATGGCAGACATAGGGAAAGAAAGTAGGGCATATGTGTGGTAAATAGATAAAAATGATGGGACAAGGGAGAAAATGACCTATAGGGAGAAAAGGATGGAAGAACGGACTATGCACCAAATATTTACGGCTCACTAAGTACGCATAAGGCATATGAGGCACTCAATATTTATTGGGTTGAAAACCAGCTCTCCATTGGTGATAATCCAATCTCGCCCTATGTATCCTCTATCCAAGAATCACCAATAAAACCCACGGCTCCTTCTCAGGCAAGTTATCATCATGGTCAGGCACAATTGTTCCTGCATCTCTCTTAAGAGAGTGAACGAGATGTTGGCCCCAGATACCTTCCGGCTGTTGGATCGCCTTGCTCAAACTTCAGCTCTGGTCCCGGTAAGCATATCAGCAGTGGGAAAGATTGATGTGTCTGAGTTCGAAGGGGCAGAGACAGATAGATGGACTCAGATAGTTCTCATGAGCACCATGTGGCCCAGTGTTCAGGTGGTGTGATCTTTTATCTGTTTGCATTCCATCCTTTGTGGGTTAACCAACCGCACCCCTTTCTTCTGCTTCTCACCAAGTGCTTTAAATGGATGTAATCAACTGTGTGATTTGAGTATCTTTATTTGAATGGTGAGTCTGTTTGTTCCACAACCTCTACGTAACCAGCCTGATCTTGTACTTGTGTTGAGGTAATTCCCTACATGGCACTGCTGGCCAATTTTGGCCTCGTATTTCTTCTTTATATTTACAACTGTTGGTAATTACACTGGAGTGGGCAAAGAATAAAGCATTTCAGAAAGATATTTGGTCATCTAAAGAGAGCAGTTAACTGTCACAGGTATACATTCCAATAATAGTCTGGCTGTAGCAGACAAACAAAAAAAGAATTCAAGGTTCAGCAGGATCAACCCATCGTACTTAAAAGCCAATTCTAGTTCAAACTCATTTCGAAAGATGAAATTTAGTGACTTGGTGAAGATCACTATTCCTAGTAACTAGTAAGCGAGAACAGGAGCCAGTGCTGCCTGAAGAGGCTAGGGGTTATTTGAGATACTACTGCTGTTCCTATCTGGGTCCCGGGTAATGACTGCTCATGCATTCTAGCACATGCTATGTAATGACTAAAAATATGAACTACAGCTATCACATTTAATAGATTAACATTAAAGGATGCAAGAATATACAGAGAATGTCCGTTTATTAACGGTGTATACAGGTGTCACTGAGACATTTCAAGGGCTGAAAATCACTCTTCTTTCCTGCTGTCAATTTAATCATGGCATTATACATTGCCCTTCGATTCTAGAAAACTGAACTTCAGTTTTTCTTCTCAAGTTAGTTGATTTTAGCTGGAAGTTCATGCCCAGGTATCAGAAATAGTTAACTCATAAAGGCTTTTACTCACCAGCTGATTATATATCTATGTCTATACATATATATATATATATATAATATATGAAAAATTGTGTTGGATATTTAGAATATAAAAATGACCAAAATTTAAACTATGTGAATCAACAAACATTTTGTACTTCTTTCCATGTACCAGACACTATTCTAGGAATTAGAAAACCATAATAGCAGTGTGTTAAACCAGAAAATATTCATTACCAATAAAAATAAATCCACAGCCTCAATTGCCAGCTCAACCATGATCTCAATGACCCAAGTGATGGCTTTTGTCCTTCCATTCATTCCTATTATTTTGGAATTGTCCTCTAGGCTTCTTACCTAGTGATCACAACATACCTGCTTCAGCTCCAGGTCTCCAGTCCCTACATTACCATCTCCAAAGCTGGGGGAGTGAGGGTGGTGGAAGAGATATTCTTCTATAAATCTACCATAGAAAATTTCAGTCCTGAGTCTTCTCTGCAGACTTCCCCTCGGATTATTGTTGATGAGCAAGACCTTCTGTGATTTTGAAACTATTCTGGAGTTTGTGCTGTCCAAAATGGTATCCATCAGCCACATATAGTTAGTGGGCACTTGGCTTGTGGATAGTTTGTTGAAAGAACTGAATTTTTAGTTTTATTTAATTATAATTAATTTGCATTTAAATACTCCAGTGTTTCTTTTTTTTTATTTTATTTTTTATAAACATATAATATATTTTTATCCCCAGGGGTACAGGTCTGTGAATCAGCAGGTTTACACACTTCACAGCACTCACCATAGCACATACCCTCCCCAATGTCCATAACCCTACCCCCCTCTCCCAACTCCCCTCCCCCCATCAACCCTCAGTTTGTTTTGTGAGATTAAGAGTCACTTATGGTTTGTCTCCCTCCCAATCCCATCTTGTTTGATTTACTCTTCTCCTACCCCCTTAACCTCCTATGTTGCATCTCCTCTCCCTCATATCAGGGAGATCATATGATAGTTGTCTTTCTCCGATTGACTTATTTCGCTAAGCATGATACCCTCTAGTTCCATCCACGTCGTCGCAAATGGCAAGATTTCATTTCTTTTGATGGCTGCATAGTATTTCTAATGTCTACCATACCGGACAGTATAACTTTTGGTTCTTTTTGGCTAGAGGGAGGTTATGGTCATGCAGGGATGCAAAGGAGGCTGGGAAAATGATTAGCTTTTTCAGTCTCTAAGGAAGAAAAGGTTTGGGAATGGCTTTTTGGCAGAAGCAACAGTGTCTGCGATAAAAAGTAGCTAAGAGTGTCATAGAGCTGGTGCTGTAGTATGGGAGGCTAACAACATAAAAATGTAAACAAATAAATTTTAAAAGGGAGCTATCATCAGGTTTGAACAAGCCATGTTACCTAGACTCAGTCTACATGATTGGTCTAGATTTTAGAGTAATTAATAGGGAGTGATTGGAGGTAGGAGTAATTTAAGAAGGCAGCTGGAAAAACCTCTAGGGAGCTCACAGTCTGGTAGAGAAGGAAGACAAGCATGTAAAATAAATCATTAACAATAAACCAGTTGGCATATATGCATGCACACACACACACACACACACACACACACACACATGCTACTACATATTCACACATACATAGTTCTATATTGTTCCTATTTGGAGGGACAAGGCATTTGGTGTGTTTCTCCCATGTTTCCTATTAGCCTTAGGTAAAATAGCAAGACAAGATTCACAGCATAGAAGCTTTGGAATGTGGTCCACCAACCATCCTTAAAGCAACAACTGGTGCAACACACATTTATTGGACTATGTGTATACAAACAACAGTTAACGAGAGATTTCTCATGGAGATTCTATGGGATGTTTTAAAATGGGACAATCACAAACACAGTTGAGAACTTTGAAAGGACCTATTACATCCTACAACTTCAAATGCTATGAAGTTCATGATGCCTGAGGGGGTATCAACAGTAGACGGACCTGTCTGGCAAGAGGCTGAAAGGGCTGGGGTGCCTTAATTAAAACAAAGGTTTTGATTGGACAGAGGGTAAGCGATGGTAAGTTTCAGACGGTATCATCCTCTGAGATTTTTCTAAGTGTAGACAGGATGACTTGTCATTTTATGAACCCATACTGGTACAGAAATAATGATAAATGAGGGTCGGATGATTCAAAGGCCCAGCGTGTTGAGAGATAAGGTTTCCTTAAGTTCTTTCCAGCTTGCCTATACCATTATTTCGTGATCTCTAATGAGTTTTATTTTTCAAAGATTTCTGTGCAAGAATGGCTGAAATTATCCATGTAATAAAACATTTCATTTCCTCCATGTTTCTCCTTGGATTCATGGTACTAGTTGAGATTCTTTTTCTTGTAATTCCATACTTTATATAACTTTCTTAACTACAGTGAAGTAAAGAGGAGATGTACCAAATTGGTGTTAGTACTTGCGACACACAAATTTCAAAACAGACATGCACATTTATTTCAACTCTAGGCTGAAATAGAATATGTGAAAATATGCACAGATCCTAAATTCACATGACAATTTGTAGCTATGACGATAGTAACTGGCTATTAAAAACTTCCATTTTGCTTCCACTTCTTTTATAAAGAAAATGGATGATGATGATGATGATAAAGATGATTTTGTTAGTGGATAATAATTCTTTACGTAAATTCAAGAAAAATGTAAGCAATTTTTCCTACTTAACACAGAGACACTTATTTTTACCTTTTAGCTCATATAAAGATTTATTTTATGTATTTATCTTTTAAGTAGGCTCCCTGCCTAAGGTGGGGCTTGAACTCACGACCCCAGCTCAAAGGTTGCCTTTTCTTCTGACTGAGCCAGCTGGGATCCCCCTGATTTACAGATTTAGAGCTACTTAATAGTGATGATGATCTCCCACTTTTTCTACCCATTAGTGTGAGATCTGTAATGTTCAATGCGGTAGCCCTTAGGCCACCTGGGCTATTTAAACTCAAATTTAAATTAATTAAAATTAAATAAAATGAAAAATTATCTTACCCCCCACTGGCTACACATCAAGTGTTAAATAGCCACCTGTAGCTGCCATATTGGACAACACAGACCTAGAGTATTTCTGTCAGAGACTTATTATTAGCAATGGATACTGTTGGGTTTATACAGTTGAATCTCAAAAAATGTTGGTCAAAATAAGTCCTATTTAAATATTAATGCAAGAGTGTATGTTATATGGAAATGATTTATTTAATGTTGAGAAAATTCTAGTTATGGATTCCTCGGAATTGGTCCCTTGGAGAAACTCTGCTGGGCCTTAGACCCAGGCAAGAAAAATCCTGTCCTGGTTCTGCATTTTAGAGGGCACCATCTTAGCTCCCCTCCCAAAGAGGAAAAATTCTCCAGGGACAAGCCATGTATTCCCCAAAAGCTTGTGTGCCTTCCTGTTTCAAGACCTAATCCAAAGTACCCAGGTCCCAGGAATTCACCCATCAAAAACTCCTCGGAGTGCCTGAGTGGCTTAGTTGGTTAAGCACCTGACTCTTGGTTTCCGCTCAGGTCATGAGCTCCAGGGTCATGAGATGGAGCCCCTGGTTCCCTCCAGCTGGGAATCCCCTTCAATAGTCGCTCTCTTTCTGCCCCACCCCCACTCACAAGCCCTATGGACATGAGAGCTCTCTCTCAAATAAATGCATAGATCTTAAAAGAAAAAAAAAATTCCCAAGGCTACTTCCAGGTCCTGAGCAGGCCCCTTTCCAGAATCATCCTCCCAAATGGAATACCAAAAAACTGATGTGTACACTGTTAGGCCAAGGGTGACTGTTTGAGGTCCTGGACAGAGCTTGGATGAGTGGGCTCAGGTAACCATACATGTGCTGAAAGCCCCTCTTGCTCAGAAGAGGAGCTGGCACAGGAAGCAAAGTGGGGTGGAAGTGTGTAGGCCAGGGGCTGGGGTCTGGCTCTTTGCTCCCTGCCAGTTTCAGGGTGAACCCACTAGGTATCTATCTCTGGACTTGGGGGTGTTATGAAGGTACGTTACTCATGGTAAGAAAGCAATATCTTTTATTTGTTGGCTTGCCATATTTTTTGTAAGTATTTAAACAGACTATGTCAGCCCAGGTCTTGCAAATACTAGGGTGGGGCTGGCAGCCCTACTAGAGAAGAGTGAGATGTTCTCCTGGCCTTGCTTGGCTAGTTTGGCCATTATTGCTCGAACTGGTTAAATCTCAGTTATCTGTGGATGTCAGAGGAAAATTTCCTTCAAAAGGCTGCTGGCGGGTCCAGCGGGACCCGATGCATCCTTTCCAGCGTTCACGGCTGGAGCTGCTGAAGGCCAGAAATAGCTTCTGAGAGTCCAGGTTCCGAGAGAGGGATCCGTTCCTTCCTCTGGTGCATTTGGGACAAATGAGACGATCCTGTTCCGAAAGAGGGCCTTAAGTTCCTTGCGGGGGGCCGGGAGTGAGATGGGAAGGTGCAGTTGGTTTGAGGCTCTTTCCCTTTCTTTCTCCGGAGTAAGTTCATTCCTGCTCGTCTCCCTCACTCCAAATTCCAGGCCAGGGCACCCAGGATGGGTGGCCCCCAGAGGCGCACAGGGCGGCTTTGTCTGGAGGGCAGCAGAGGGAAGCGAGGGCGAGTGGCCATCGTGGCTGGAGTTTGGACTAGAACTTTCTTCCGCCCTCTCCACGAGTTACCGTTCTCCCGCGGGGCCCTCACAACTGCTGGCCCGAGGCCGAGGCCGAGGCCGAGGCCGGGGCCGGCGAGCACAGCGTCGGGGTCGGACCCCGCCGGGCGCGCGGGTTCCGGAGCGCACTCTTCCTCACCCGAGCGGCGGGCGGCGGGAGGCGCGAGGAGAGGAGCGGAGGAGGAGGGGGAAGAGGGGAGAGGAGGAAGGGAAAGGGGCGGCGGCGGCCGCGGGCGGGGAGGAGCCGCCGCGGGCAGTGGCCGGGGGAGGCGGCGGCGGCAGCGACGGTGGAGGAGGAGGAGGCGGCGCTCCCGCCGGGCGAGAGAGCGGCGCCGGGACCCGCGCGGCCGTGACCCTGCGGCTCCCCGGAGGCCGAGCGCGGCCGTAGCGGACAAAGGAGCATGTTGGGGCCGAGGAGGGCCCGTCCTCCGGCCGCCATGAGGCTCCGGGCGCCGCCGGGCCCGCGCCGCGCCCCCGCCAGCCCGGACGCCGGGCCAGCCCGCTAGGCCAGCCCGCCGCCGTTCGGCCCGCAGGCCCCGGCCGGCCGCATGGAGCCGCCCGGGCGCCGGCGGGGCCGCACGCCGCAGCCGCCGCCGCTGCTGCTGCCGCTCACGCTGCTCGCGCTGCTGGCAGGCGGAGACGGCGGCGGCGCCGCGGCGCTGCCCCCTGGCTGCAAGCACGACGGGCGGCCCCGAGGGGCCGGCAGGACGGCGGGCGCCGCCGAGGGCAAGGTGGTGTGCAGCAGCCTGGAGCTCGCGCAGGTCCTGCCCCCCGACACTCTGCCCAACCGCACGGTCACTCTGTGAGTAGCCTTGCGCCGGGTCCTCTTCCTGGGGCGCTTTCTGGTCGCGCGGCTTTTTTCCGCGCGACTTTGGAGAGGGGTCCTGCCGGCACCCACGCGCCTTTGTGCGAATGAAGCTGCAGGCACGGGTGGTGCTGGGATGGTTGGCTTGGTAGGCGCGCATCTCGGGGAAGGCAAGTGAATCTGCCCCAGCGGCGCCTTCCAGTTCCGCTAGTTTGCAAAGTAAAAGTTTTTGGGTTCTCCGACGCGCCCCGCGCAGTCAGGGCGCAGCGCTTCTGTGGCTGCGCGGTGCCACGTGAGGATGCAAGTAAACATGCAGTCGGCGGAGTTGTAGCGCGTTCATTCCGTGCTGGGGCTCCCAGAAAACACAGTGCTCGGCAGAAGCGCGGGACTTTCCGCTTCTGTGCACATTAACTTACACGGCCGTGAAGTTTGCAAGAATAGTTTGCAGAATACCAAAACAGCACCGGGACTTGGAACGCCCGCGTGTGTAATTCCCAAACCCCCAGGCTCCCCTTGCCTTCCGTTCTCTTAGTTTTGTCATAGTAAAAGAACACTTTTTAAAATGGAGTTGTTACTAAGGGCGAGAAATACATTTCAGGTGCACCTTCCAGTCCGGTTTTCATGTGTTTGAGCACTCATTTAAAAGTCCAGAAATTCGGGATTGAAAACTGGGTTTCTTGAGCCTTCCATCTCGAGGGACTTGATATTTGAGTTTCCCACCAGGAAGGAGAAGTTTTTGGTCTCATAACTCCATTTGTGCTCAGACTCACCTTCTAGTTTTGCAGGTGTGGTTCTGCCCATTCTGGCTGGACCCTTGGTTTTATTTTCGGAACGATGAAATGGTTTGGCAAAGTTTAAGTGTTTCTAATGGATATTTTGTCGAACTGAAATATGAGCCCCCTCTATCTTCTTATGGTTGGTTTCCTAAAGAAGAATCAAGGCTACCACTATAAAAACATGAAGGCAAGGAGAGCTGCATGACCTATGAAAAGCTTAAAATATGGTTTAAAATACGGCGTAAAATATGGTTTTTAATTTAACGCAAATTAAGTGGGATGTATGGGTAAGAGAAGTATAATTTTTATTACACCTTTGTTTTCTCATTTCCATTTGTTTGAATTACGAAAGGTTTAACACAGGAAAACTGTATGTGTTTCTGTCTATGGAGGCATGAAAATGGGTAAAATAGTTTTTGTTTGAGTCCTTTACTGACGCTTGACCATTTGGTAGTGGCAGCAGCTGTATTTATTTATTTCTTTACCAGATTCTTTGAAGTGGAAATTTTGGATATGGGACCTTTAATTACAGTCTTGAGTCAAGTGGAGAAAAACCCCTGTGGTGGAGGTATCCCTTTATAACTTTGCAGAAGTTAGTCATCATACATTTGGGTTCTGGATCAGTGGCACTCCAGCTGATTCAAGTTTAGGTCCAGTTTTTTCAGAATGTCAGCAGTTTTAGCAGTATTAAATGGGCTATTTGTAAATTGTTTTTGCTTTGCAGATTTTTAGGAGGTATCGTAGAAAATCAGTCTTCAGCGTATTATGTTAAACTATTTCAGTGAATTTTTCATGAGCAGATTAAAATATAAGTGCCTTTGAAATGTCATATTAATCCAGTATTTTTTACACCTGAAATGTCTTTAGATGAAAATAAAATTAACAGAATTTAGTGAGTGGGAAGAATTTAGAATTAATTTAAGGATCAGCTGACATTCTGGATTAAGTTGGGTGAAGGTATATGGGACCTGGTAGAGGGTCTTCTGGGCCAGTCCCCTCATTTTACTAGGGAATAAATGAGAGAATCATAGAAGATAAGTGACTTGCCCAAGTTCCTATAGAGATTGAGTGACAGGGTCCATGTCCCAGATTTCTGCTGTGCAGTTCAGATGCTTTCTCATCTTTCCCCAGACCTTCATCCATCCATCTATCTTTCTTTCTTTCTTTCTTTCTTTCTTTCTTTTTTCTTCTTCTTCTTCTTCTTCTTCTTCTTCTTTTCCTTTTTTTTTTTTTTTAAGATTTTATTTATTTATTTGACAGAGATCACAAGTGGGTAGAGAGGCAGGCAGAGAGAGGAAGGGAGGCAGGCTCCCTGCTGAGCAGAGAGCCCAATGGTGGGTCAATCCCAGGACCCTGGAATTATGACCTGAGCTGAAGGCAGAGGCTGTAACCCACTGAACCACCCAGGCGCCTCTTCATCCTTCTTCTTAGTTCAACAGTTGTGGGTGTGTGTGTTTCCTGGGTAGTAGGCAGCACATTGAGGTTTAGACTAGGTGTTAATTTCCTCAGGGTGTGGCAAATTACCACACATTCTGCCACATAAAACAACAAATTTCTTTTCTCACAACTCTGGAAGCCACAACTTGGAAAATCAAGGGGTCGTCAGAATGGTGCTGGCCTTTCAGCTCCTGACCTACCTTGGATTGTGGCACCCCAGCGCCAGTCTCTGCCTCTGTCTTAAGGTCGGTTCTTTCCCCTGTGTCTCTGTGTTCAGATACTGTTCTTTCTCTTATAAGGACACCAGTCATTGAGTTCAGTTTTGACCCTAAGCCCAGGATGATCTCATCTAAGGGTGCATAACTTAATTACATCTGCAAAGACCTTATTTCCAAATAAGGTCACTTGTAGAGGTAACCAGGTGTGAGAACTTTGGACTCCTTTTGGGGGCATATTGTTCAACTCACTATAGAATAAATAAAATAAATAAAACAAGGTCTTTATTCAGGAACATACAAGTATTGGGAGAGCAATATTCATGAATTCAGAGCAGTATGGTAAATGCTCTAATATTGGGGTGCACATTAGCAAAAGGAACTCAGGAGGGCAACCAAAGTCCCCTTGGGACATAGTTGGTGGCATCCAGGATCTGAGGCTCCTGAGCCAATTCGAGAAGGATGAGATGGATAATTGTGAACAAAATGGTGAGTGATAAGTCAAGGGGAGGAGATGAGAGGTATGGTCAGTGGGAGACCCGCCCCACCCCCAGGCATGCCCTCAGGCCTGGAGGTGACAGTGTTGCTGCTCTGTGCAGTCAATGTTGCTAGATGTCAAGGGCAAGTGTTCACTGCCTGGAGTGGTCACAGGAGTCTGTAAAGGCCAGGTCAAGGACAGGCAGTATCTCTGGCTGGAGTTTTAATCCCTTGGGTATGGCCAACGATGTTTCAGGGGAGCTATGATATGGCCGCCACAAGGAAAATTGATGGGATAGAATTTTTCTTCTTTTTTTTTGTTTTCTTTTAAATAATGGAAGATAAGGTAATTTCTACCTCGGGGGTAAACTGTACTTCAGCATAGCCAAGAGCTCCTATACTTTGGCTACCTTAGTGCACAGCACTTACTTTCTTATTTA